ATCTCTAGAAGTTGTAAGTAGTTGTTTTCTGGATTAAAAATGTTGGGATAATATAAGAACTACACTCTCACTTCCAAGGATGCTGATACCGCTTTGGGGTATGTGTGAATCTGGCCTGGCTGACTCATAGTTTTAAGTCATGATTTATTGTTTAATGAATCAGTCAGATACTACATTAACCACAAACTAAAGAACTGATGATGTGTGAACACCATCTAGGTTCATGAGTGTCTGCTGCTTGACTTCTATCAATTTAATTGTATCTTAACTGTGCTGTTCAAAAGATAACTGGACTTTCTTGGTTTTTCTCCTTGAAAATTTTTTGCTTTTCATCCAAAAAGCTTCTTCAATTCTTCAGTTGAACTAAAGAAGCTTCTTGGATGAGAAGTGAAATGTTTTTAAGGAGAAAAACCAAGAAAGTCCCATTGCTTTTTGAACAGCACCTTTGGGACAATCATGACCTGGGTGATTGAGAATCTCCATGAACAAGTTAATTATAGTTTTACTCTAAGTAACTTCATCCCTCACTTTGTAGTTGGGGATAAGGAAACATACCAGTTTTGCTTACTTCCCACCAAAATGTTTAAAACTGCAAATTGTTTCGAATGATGGTATCTTAGTATCATCCAAGGATCAAATTCTCACCCTCCTTGAAGTGCCATATGGAATAGACAATTACCTTCAGCATGGATGTTCCTGCCTGAAATGTAGCTGCTAAAGGTGAGAAGTCTGAGAGATAAAAAGAGAAAGCAACTCTTGTTCCACGTCATAAAGATGGTTCCAATTCTGACTTTTAAAAATTAGACTTCAAATGCTCTGCCTGGAATGGTCAAATCTTCGTTTCTTTTCATCCTGTCTGTGGAAGAAATGTTCCTCATTTGATAAGCTCATATTATTTCTTTTTCTTTAAAAAATAATAATGGAATTCTTACATGTTTATCCTTGTCTTCAATAATGAGAAATAACCTGTTTACATTGCAGGATTATTGTACATGAAATATACATATAGTGACAGATCATAGTCCTGAGCACATAATAGCTCAATATTTGTATCATTCAAAGAAGAAGAGGAAGAAAAGGGAAGGAGAGGGAGGAAGATTAAGGAGGAGGAGGATTGTTCAAGCAGGGCTACCATCAAAATTGGAAAAATAGAAAAAGTCCTTGATTAACATAAGGAACATAGGTCCTACTAAGAAAAAATTGGATTTGATTTAACTAGCAGGCCTGCAAACCTACAACTGAAAATCAACTCTATTTTATTTAGACTTTACTGAAAAGATTCCAAAACATACTTTGTTTACCACATCTTTGCAAACAGTCCTGACAGTGGGACTTTTGTCCCAACCCAGCTTTGTTCTAATCCTATCCATGAAACTGCAGGTGGTGGAAGAAGCTGAACTTGCTTCAAGCAAAACAGAAGAGGTTAAAGGAGTCTCTGACTTCGACTCTATGTCTCTGTGGATACTCAGAATAGACCATCTCTTCTCCTGTTTCCCTTCCTGCCATTGTCTGGGGAGCATATGGCTCAGAAATTGTGGGTTTGTTAAATTTCATGAAATAGGCGAGACGAAGAAGGGACAAAAAAGAGGAAATGAAGGATGCCACACAACAAAAGCTGCTTGAAATAATTCATCCCAAGTACAGCTTTACCCTTTTATTTAACTGATGATAAAAGCAATCACCATCTGCTAGGCTTCTGAAGGGAACCAGTCTTTACCCCACTACAAAATTCAACATGCAAAATAGGATTTGAAGAAACTTCCCCGGCTAAACTGTGCAAGGTATGGGAAGTTATGTGCTTCTCCTTTGTGCCTTCAGCCAAGATGGATTCATTCTTACCCACCTCTCCTCATTTGGAGGGAGGAAAAGAAACATCCAAAAGCCAAATCCAAAAAGTTTGAGCAAAAAGAATGTGCCTGCCTGCCTGCCAGCCAGCCAGCCAGCCAGCCAGCCAGCCAGCCAAGCAATTTTCCTTGGAGTAAAAACATATACGAAATACAGACTGCAATGATGACACCATTAAAGCCAACATCTTTAACACATTCTTTGGCTCAATATTTGTAAACAGCAATGGATCATGCCCAGTATTTCCTAGCCAAACCACAGACAACTACGATGATCTAATACATATCAATTTTACAGAAGACAATGTTGAAAAAGCACTACGCAATCTAAAACCATCTCTATCTATTGGACCGGATGGAATATGTACCTACTTCTTTAAAAAGCTATCCACTGCCATAGCTGAACCTCTAAGCATAATCTTTGAAAAATCTTTCAGGACCAGCTCCTTGCCTAACCTATGGTCACAAGCCACGGCCATCCCCATCTTCAAAAAAGGAGACCCCAGCCAAGTTGAAAATTACAGACCAATCTCCTTATGCTGCGTCACCTGTAAAGTCATGGAATCAATTATTAACCAATCCATCATCCTCCACTTAGAGACAAACAACCTACTCTCCAATAAACAATTTGGTTTCAGAAAAAAAACTATCCTGTAATCTGCAACTCTTACACTGCAAAAACATATGGACTACACAACTCGATCAAGGCAAAACAATAGACACAATCTACATAGACTTCTGTAAAGCCTTTGATTCAGTGGTACCCGACAAACTACTCCTAAAACTAAAATCTTATGGTATCTCTAGACAACTGCATAACTGGATAGAAGCATTTCTGTCAAACAGACAACAAACGGTCAACATTGGGAGTGTCCTATCAAATTCTGTACCTGTCAATAGTGGTGTCCCCCAAGGCAGTGTTCTAGGACCAACTCTCTTCATACTTTACATAAATGACCTCTGTGATCATATTAAGAGCAACTACGTTCTCTTCGCTGATGATGGAAAGCTGTTCAATACCACAGACCCTTCAAAAAGATCTTGACTATGTATCAGAATGGTCAAACAAATGGCAACATCAAATCTTAACAAATAAATGCTCTGTCCTACATATTGGCAAAAAAAATCAGAAAATAAAATACAGGCTGAATAATCAAGACCTTGTTGATGATCCAAACTCTGTCAAGGACCTTGGAGTACTCATCCCAAATGACCTAAGTGCTAGAGCCCACTGTAACTACATAGCCAAAAAGACATTAAGAGTTGTTAACCTAATCCTACATAGCTTTTTCTCTGGTAATATCACACTACTAACTAGGGCATACAAAACATTTGCCAGACCAATACTTGAATACAGCTCATCAGTCTGGAACCCACATTATGTATCTGATATTAGCAGTTGAGAAAGTCCAGAAATATTTCACAAGAAGAGTTTTCCACTCCTCTACTTGTTGTAGAATACCTTATGCCACCAGATTTGAAATGCTAGACCTAGAAAACCTAGAACTATGCCACCTTCGGTCCGATCTAAGTATAGTATATAAAATCATACATTGCAATGTCCTACCTGTTAATGAATACTTCAGCTTCAACCAAAACAATACAAGAGCACAACAATAGATACAAACTCAAGGTTAATCGCACCAGACTTGATTGCAGGAAATACGACTTCAGCAACAGAGTGGTCAATGTCTGGAATATTCTACCTGACTCTGTGGTTTCTTCCCCAAACCCCAAAAACTTTAACCTTAGACTTTCTACTATTGACCTCACTCCTTTCCTAAGAAGTCTGTAGGGGGCGTGCATAAGCGCACCAACATGCCTACTGTCCCTGTCCTATTGTTTCTTTTATTTTTCTCATATGTACCCATTTCATGTATTCATAACTTTGTATTTTCTTATTCCTATTATCTTGTAAGTGATTGACAAATCAAATAAATAAATAAATGGGATCAGCTCAGCAACTTGCGAGGTATATATAGGATAGTAGTTAAATTGCAATTGCCAGGATAAAATTCAAAAGATTGGCTGATCTCATCCCTTTTCACTGTTTTGACTTTCTGGTTGCCATTTTGAGACTGTGGCTGTTCAAAGGCTTTGCTGTCTGTCTTTTTTGACCGGAGAAAAGTTTTGCACATAGTTCTCTGTATGAAAATCCAGCTTTATTGCTTTTATCAAGAGGAACTAAATAATATTAATGGGAAGAATTGGCCTGCAGCCTCATGTCTACCCTTTATTTCAGTGTTCATGTTCTTTAAATATTTGGCTGTCATAGTCATAGTCCAAAACTGGCAGCACTAGATACTATTCAACATGGAACATGTGCACCCAATGGAATTGACTAATGATATGAACACCTTTCTTTACCTTTGAACAACGGGACCTAGTTACTGGATTAAACTAGAGTTTGTACTCACACAGAATTCTAAACCAACGAAAGAGGCTGGGTTTCACAAGGTGATAACAGCTAACAACAAACCAAAATAAACACCAGGTCATCCAATCCAAGAGCTTCCATGCTGGGCAAAGTCACCAAGCAGATTTTTGATGTGTGTTTCATGTGCCAAGAACGAACAGACTTTGCAGTTCTAACCTAATAAGGTTGCTATCCCACAGGATTGGCTTCAGAGGCTCTAGTGGTAGGGTCGCCCGGCTTCCGCGCAAACCAGTGTTTAGGGTGGAAAGGAACATACATACAGTTCCTGCCTTCCGATATTAGGGAGAGGGAGCCCTAATCCTGCCACACTAGCCAGAGACCCGCAACAAAGACATTCAACCCCGTCCGTTCGGCGACGCATCGACCCACTCTACCATCGCTGTTTGGAAGGGTTGGGGAACCTCAAGGCGGTGCTGTTTCCTTAAGCGGAGACAAAGAACAGCCGGCCGATTCGCTTCTGGAAGGGGCGGACTCATCACTCTTATCTCCACCCGCAGCAGCTCCCCTTTTGATCATTCAAATACAGTGGCAGAGGGAGGGAGAGGATTCCACACACCCCCTTTAGGCTAGCAGCTCTGCCAATAAAGGGGAAACTCTCTCCTACGAGTGGATCTGCCTACCCCCATCTGGACGAGGAAAGAAAAGGGTGTCTTCATGGGAGACTTGCGAGGGGGCTTGCTTGCCCTTCCTCATCCCTGCCGGGGGTCGGGCGGACTTACCGTTACACCACTGGAAGGGGTGCATCAGAGGCCCCAGAGCACAGCTGCTTGGCGGAACGAAAGGCGAAACAATACCCCGAACTGCGCGGGGCGCTTATGGCAATCTCGCTTTACCAGGCGCTCTGCCCACGTCCTCCGCCCAGCCTTGGAGCTGGACACAGCATTCCAATCGCGGGGAATCTTCCTTCCCCGTTGGCAGACTTTCCGAAGGAAATTATTGCAGTTCGGCCATGGGCGGCTTTTTCGAACGGCTCAATCCGAAATCAGCCACCGCTGAGCGAGCGACCCGAGTTGCAGCTCCTTTCTCAGGGTTGCGTCCAACATACCGCTTCGGAAACCGACCCTCGCCTGGTCAACCCCGCCCCATCCCAATCAACCATCAAATCGGGGCTCTGGACAAGAGGAGCCGATTAGCATCTTTGCTTTTGAAGTGGACAAGCAGTGAGTCGGGATTGGCTGGCTTGGGACGTGGCTCCAGCCTATAGCGTTGCGAACCAAAAGAGGAAGAACGAAGAATGGGGATTAGGAAAGAATGGGGAAGGGGAAAAAAGGAAAAAGAAGATCGATCAATCGTAGCTGCGCTTAGGATCGCTCGCGTTGCAGGTAGCTTGATGGAGGTGCCGAATCCCGATTTTATTAACATTTTAAAAGGATCACCTTTCCAGCTCTTCATCCCAAGGGACCTGGCAATTCTTCCTTTCTTTATTAGATTTCTATTCCTCCTTTAACCTGTACCGGAGTAAAATTATAGACACAATTTACATAGACTTCTGCAAAGCCTTTGATTCAGTGGTACACGACAAACTAGTGTTAAAACTAAACTCTTACGGCATTTCCAGATCCCTCCATAAGTGGATTACTGTATTCCTGTCAAACAGGCAACAAATAGTAAAAATAGGGAGCGCTATATCAAACTCTGCTCCAGTTAACAGCGGTGTCCCCCAAGGCAGCATTCTAGGACCCACACTCTTTATACTCTATATAAATGACCTTTGCGATCACCTTATAAGCAACTGCATCCTCTTTGTGGATGATGTAAAACTATTCAACACCACTGCCAATGCTACTATCCTTCAAAGTGACCATGATTATGTGTCTGAATGGTCAAACATCTGGCAACTCCAAATCTCGACCAACAAATGCTCTGTCCTACACATTGGGAAAAAAATCAGTACACCAAATACAAACTAGGCAGATATGACCTCATTGATGACCCTCACTCTGTCAAGGACCTTGGAGTTCTCATATCTAATGAATGTGAGCACTAGAACTCACTGTAGCAGCATTGCCAAAAAGGCATTAAGAGTTGTAAATCTAATCTTACGAAGCTTCTTGTCAACTCTAGAATTCATCGTTGCCATAGAGTTCTGGAGAGAGAAAGTGATGTATTGAATAGTTTTAGGGGGAAAAAGTTATTATGAGTTATTAGTTCAAGGTGACAGAGAGTGGCGTAGCAAAGAATTGAGAATGCAGATCATTGGTTCATGTGATTGATGAGGTGTGAAAAAGGGGGTGGAGGTAGGTGGAATTTTGTGGGATGAGCTGGTAGGATTCCAGTACTGAAATTCCACTGGACAAATACCAATCTTTTCTTTGTTTTGAATAAATCACTTTGAGAATATGTCAGTCTCGGAGTTAATGTTTCAAATGAAGGATTGAATGCTAAATGAAGGATCTGAGACTTCTCCTCCGGAAATATTGAACTGCTAACTAGAGCATACAAAACATTGGCCAGACCAATACTCGAATACAGCTCATCAGTCTGGAATCTGCACTGCATATCAGACATTAATACAATTGAGCAAGTCCAGAAGTATTTCACGAGAAGAGTACTACACTCTTCTGCTTGCAACAGAATACCCTATATCACCAGGTTTGAGATTTTGGGCTTGGACCACCTTGAAGTACGCTACCTACAGTTAGACTTAAGCGTAGCACACAAAATTATCTGCTACAATGTTCTACCAGTCAATGACTACTTCAGCTTCAACCACAACAATACAAGAGCATACAACAGATACAAACTAAATGTAAACAGCTTCAAACTTGATTGCAGAAAGTACGACTTCAGCAACAGAGTGGTCAATGCCTGGAATACACTAGACTCTGTTGTTACATCCTCTAACCCCCACTCCTTTAATCTCAAACTGACCACTATTGACCTCACCCCATTCCTAAGAGGTCTGTAAGGGGCATGCATAAGTGCACCATTGTGTCTACCATCCCTGTCCTATTGTCCCCATTTATTCGTACCTATTTCCTGTATTCTTACTCTTGTTTATACTTATATCTATTATCTTGTAAGCAATTGACAAATCAAATAAATAAATAAAAGACAAAGAGGATTGCACCCTGCACCCTCTCCTGCACAATAACAATACTTTACCTGCATCCCATCAGTTGACTCAGAATACTCTTCCTGTTTCCCATTGTCTTTTTTTTCTGGAGGTGGACACACTTCAAAACTAAGTCCAGGGCTCCTTTGAGCTATTATACGATTATAGCGGTTATATTTCCAGGGGTAACTCAAGTTACTGCATCAAGGTGATGCCAGAAGTTTGCAACATCTATGGATTAAAAATGAGAGGTGGAAAGGAACCTGGCAGATCTCAAGAGAGCTGTTCTGGAACTGGTGGAAGTCACGGTGCTGATGTCTGCTGCAGGGTGCCAGGTAGACATTTCTTAGACCTAATCAAGATATGTGACATGGTCTTTCCTGCAAATAAGTCACACAGGACTAACCGAATCCCCCCGCAAATCAGTGGACTGCAAGGAAGAAAGGAATAACTACTGGAAATCTCCTGAAATGGAAGATTCTTCACTGTGACAAATGATGGCACATGCCACGTGAACACTGAACTGTTCACTGAGATCAACTCTTCCATAGAAGACCTTGCACTTTCCTCTACCTACTGGGCTGCATATGTAATCCATCATCAAACAAATCTGACCCAGTGGGTCACACCTTGCTGATCTCAGCTTTGGCAAACAATGGTGTCCCATCTAATGAGCTGAAGAATAAACATGGAGAAAGGTCACCACCATGAAGCCATGCAATTCCATCAAATCCTTTCCCCCTTGTGCTGGTTTATTCCATTCCATCTTGCAACAAATATGATTAAGGGACTGAATGCTAAAATGTATGAAAAATGGTTTCAGGAATTGGGTATGTCTAGTTTAATGAAGAGAAGGAGTGACATGATAGCAGTCTTCCAATAACTTATAACTAAGAAGCAATGGATGGAAATTAACCAAGGAGAGAACCAGCTTAGAACTAAGGAGAAATTTCCTGACAGTGAGAAAAATTAATTAGTGGAACATCTTGCCTTCAGAAGTTGTGGGTTCCTCCAACACTGGAGGTTTTTAAGAGACTGAGCAGCCACTTCTCTGAAATTTATTTTATTTATTTATTTTTGTCAATTGCTTACAAGATAATAGGTATAAGTAAAAACGTAGTTATGAATACATGGATACATATAAGAAAATAAAAAAAAATAAAAGAAACAATAGGACAGGGACAGTAGGCATGTTGGTGTGCTTATGCTCGCCCCCTAAATGGTATAGGGTTTCTTGTTTGATCACATTGGAGGGGTGTGTATATGTGGGAGAACTGAAGGAAGATTGAAAAGTGGATGGATCAATTATAGCAATAGCACTTAGACTTATATGCCGCTTTACAGTACATTTATAGCCCTCTCTAAGCGGTATAAAGAGTCAGCATATTGACCCCAACAATTTGGGTCCTCATTTTACCCATCTTGGAAGGATGGAAGGCTGAGTCGGCCTTGAGCCTGGGGAGATTTGAACTGCCAAATTGCAGGCAGCCAGCAGTTAGCAGAAGTAGCCTGCACGCTAACCACTACGCCACTGTGGCTCACTATAATCACAAAGTTAGGGAATCTCACCTGTGCACTGCAAAGGTTCAGTAATTTTGGTGGAAAAATCATCATCATCACCAACTCTGGCAAAAGAGAGAAATAAGAGGAAAGAATTTTGAGAAGATTGGAGTGCAAACATTACATTAATAATTTTTAAAAGGCCTAAATCATAGCATCCTGTTTCTCAAGGTCACAACTGAATAATTTGCACACTGAATCTTCCATGTGGAAAAATTATATTTAACAGAAGATGATAACATTCTTGAGATGGGTTCACTTGCCCTGAAATAAAATCCCTGGTCTCTTATATTTTATTTATGTATATAAATATTTATGTCTCATATATTCTAATGTATATAGGCAGTTCTCAGTTCATGCAGCATTTAAAATCAATTCACGGTGATATTCATCTACCAACAGCTGATAGTTTTGTGTGATTGATTCTCTCATATTTTTAAAAAATTACTACAGCAAAGAATTTGATTGATATAGTGACTCTAGAGATTTTTTAAAAAGTTTTTCCTATCAGGGTTTTTGCACCAACTGTGATTAAAAGCTTATCTAAACATGGAGGAAAGGGCTGGAGAAGACATGACAAGTAAAATCACTGCTGGTGACAGAATTAACAAATTTGAGCTGAGAAGTAACCAAGTCAGAATTGGTACATGCTTAGACAGGAGACCACAAAGCAGTTGAAAAACATAGAAGTATATTTCAGATTATTTATGTATTCCTGCTGAAAAATAATATCTATATTTGCATAGTGAATAAGACCTGGTTTTTTTTTTAAAAAAAATAGAATAACAGAGTTGGAACTTGACTCAAAGGCTATATTTCACAGCATTATTAATTCAGCTTCGTGTTTGATTCTTCCAAAAATTAGGCATCTAGTATCTTTTCTGACCAGTATGTTTTACTAAAAGGGATTTTTGCCAGCATGAACTAACATATCTCTCCTACAAGTCCAAAGAGGTACCCAAGAAAAGGAAATGTTCCTGTCCCTCCTCATGTCTCTCTCATGTTGAACCTACACAACCTACACAAACCTACACAAACTGGATTCATATAGATTTATAGTCCGAGACTGCAATCTTTCATGTCTTAGGCACATTACCCTAAGCTCTGCTGAAAACAATGGGCATTTTGAAGCAACAATAAATATGTGACATTGCTTTCAAATATTTGTTTGAGGAGGGACTTGCCATATGCTAGTGCCAGTGTGTCTTTGAACAATGTTGCCATTTCAAACAAAGGCTGGGCTAAACCAGTATTCCATTATTTATTTCCAGCAATACTTCTCTCTCTGTTTGTCTCTTTCTCTCCCTTCCCCTTTCTTTTCTGTTTTGGCAAAACAGGAGCATTGCCTGTAAAATATGAGTTTAAAATATGAGTTTTTGAAGAAAAGCTATAGATTTTTACGAGTGGTAGATCTCCT